AATATATTGAACTATACACTGTAAAAGCCACACAAAAAATTTGCAATAATAATTGGCATCCACCTCTAAAAGAAAACTGTGAAGAGGGAGGAAGTAAATCACACTTGTAAACACTGTGTTTATTACAAAAAAAAATTACACTTCAAATGCCTTTTAAAAAAGCAATTTATGCTTTTGAGAGACATAATATTGATAAAGAAAAGAAATTCTAAGGATTCTGAAGAAAAGGGTACATAAAACTTACTTTTTTTGGGTCCCAATAACTGTTAACTTGATCATTTTCGTGCAATAGTACTCTATCAACTTCTACAAAAATCAAAAATGGTTTGTAAGAAAAAAGAAAATATTTAATGCTATTTTCAAACCTCTATAGAAATTTTTATCTGTCAATTATGCAAAGATATTAATATTATACAGATGACAATCTTTTAGATGATTCCTAGATAATAAAATTTAAAAGCGATTGCTACAACTCCAAGGTCAAATATACATAAGAGATAAATAAAAATTATTAACAAAAAATTTTTTATGTGTATTCAGCATGAAGGATAAATTAATTCTAATGATAAAATATAAAACAGAGAAATCAAATAACTAAGAGTTTAGTAACATTCTTAACATCTTAACTGGTACACCAATTTTAGTAATGGATAAAATAATAAAAGTCATACATAAAAATCAACTACATACCAAATGTCCTGTTATTAGGAGGTGTATTGGCACCATGATAGTTGTCTTGGGGGTTCATAGCACTCTGATGAAGGGCAGAATCTGAATTGGTCCTAAAATAGCATAAGTTAATATTGAATTTCTTGGTGATAACTTTATAAAAAAATTTTTGTTGAAAAAGTATTTATTGTTATAATATAGAATTTTAGAATTTTCATACAAATGTTCAGTTAGAATGTTTATTTATAATCATAGAAAGCAATTTAAATTCTTTTTCTCATAAAATGTGTTTTTTCTCTCATAAATATTATTTTAATAATCAGGGATGAGATTGGCCAAAAGGCAAAAAAGCTGAATTTTCATGCGAGTCAATCGTGATTTATAGCAAAAATATCAGTA